TGAAAAAGGATTTTTAAGCTACTTAATAGTTGCGAAATTTGAAAAATCACATCGGAAAGGGTTTATGCAGAGTATGAATCGTCCGGTGAAGAACATTACCGAATACTAAAGTTAATTTTACTTACATCAGAAACGTTCAGAGTTATTTTCAAAAATAAGAGAATCAAGAAATTATTATCTCTGTAAAACTTCTGCGAGATGATTTAATGCTGAAGTTTCGACTTGTGAGTAATCAATTCCTGGGATTTTCAGAAGCCATGTTAGTCCAACACCAACGGAATATATTCAAAAATCACCTTTAAATACATACCACTTCTTCGTTTAGTTGTGTTTTCTGAGCTGGATGGTTTAATTGCGAAGCTCTCATTGCCTTATTAGGTAACATACTCAGCGCATACTTCAATTTGAAGTGAGCTTTTAAATTTCTCTATGAGCTTATTAGTCGTCTCTCCTGGTAACCTTGAACGTGATTTGTTGATTTTGTCTGTTTCCATACCCTCTAATCTACATGTACTGGTATCGATTGTTTCCTTTAACTGGAGTTTGACCTTTTGTGCATGAGATTTCCTTGTTATGGACTGGTAAATTTTGTCAATGTCAATGTGTCTGTTAATTGCCGATTTACTGGAATACCAGGCTTCCAAAAATTCTCTGGCGTTTTTGGTGTTTCCTATATCTAATGTTTGAACGTCATTAGTGTGTATCGACAGAATGCTCATTTTTGTAACTGATAAAATGAAGATTAAGTAATAATTACTTCCCCGTCTAACCATATTCAATTTTAGAACTTTAATTGACTCTTGTCCTTTAGTGTAAATGGACGTGCCCAATATCCACCGTAGTGACAGATATATTTAAACAAAGCAACAACTACAGATTTTGCAGAATAAAATGGTACCATATTTTATTTCGTCGCCTTCTCTTCAGCTGCTTACAGGGCAAAAACATTATTAAATGTATCTACAATAACAATTTATCATACTTACACAGAGTTCATTTTAAACAGAAATCAATCGATCAATATACACATACACTAATAATATATACATATATGTATATATATGCAATCTTGAACACAATTCCGAGCATTAATAATCATACAAAATGAAAACTTTTTAGTATCTCGCATTAGGATGAAAAATATCCAGTTACCAGGGCAAAGAAAGACTGATAACTGCTTCTTTCTGAACACACAAATCAGGTTTTAGGCGCTTGATGGAAAAGACTTCGGCAAACTTAAGGAGCATTGAACTCTTTTGCTTATTGATAATTTTGAATGACTTTTCTACGTCCACCTCATGACCCGTGTCAAGAAGATGCCTGGCGATGGCACTGCCTAAAGCATTTGTTCCCTTTAGACGTAAGCTTTTTGGTACATGTTCAGAAAATCGTAGATATGCTCTTCTTTCTGTTCTTCCAATGTAACTGCTCCCGCAGATACATGTAAATTTGTATATACAGTTGGATTTAACATGAGAAGGATATCTATCGATTTTTGATTGCACCAGAGAGCAAGTTGTTCGAAAGACGGGAACGAGCTTAGCTGCAGGATAGGCTATGGCTAGTGATGTACTCAGCCTTCTGTTGATCATCGCTGCAATGTTTTCGCCTTTATAATCAAGCTCAAAGTAGATTGGCTTTTTTCTTACTGTGATTAGTTTTTCATTTGCGACTGCAGATCTTCCATACTTATTGATAAACCTTTGAGGGTACCCATTGCTCTTCAAAGTCTTTTCAAGAAACTCAAATTCTTCCTCTAGTTTCTCTGTAGAGCATATTCTTCTCGCTCTATAGTACAAAGTCTTGACCAGTGCTCGTTTATAGCTATTTGGACAAAAGCTATTAAAATTTAAGTATTGTCCTTTCCATGTGGACTTACGATAAATTGACTTTTGAAGACTACCGTCTTCTAGGCGTTCCATGGCGATGTCGAGGAAGTGGAACTTCCCGTCACTTTCATGTTCCACAGTAAACTTGATATTGGCGTGTGCATCATTGAATAATCTTAGTAGGTGTGAAGCATGACTATCATTTTTGCACACTATAAATGTGTCATCAACGTAACGACAGTAGGAAGTTGTTTCATCGATTGCATGCTTCAACTTTGTTTTCTCAAGATTTGACATGAAGATATCTGCTAAAACAGGGCTAAGTGGACTGCCCATAGCTACACCATCTATTTGTCGGTAAAGAGTGTTATTAAACTGGAATTGTACATCCATGGTACACATTAGCAGTAGGCGTTTGAATTCTGACTCTGGTAGTGGAAGCAGATCAGACTGTTGACAAATGATTTCAATGGTTTCATTGATTGGGATCATTGTGAACAAGGATGTTGCATCAAATGAGACCATGAACTTATTTGAAACGTTCATATGATTCACGCTTTCGGCGAAATGAAATGAGTCTTTTACGGTATGCACAGCTAGACGTCGGCGAATGGGTTCCAACTTCTCCGCAAGCCAACGGGTAACCTTATATATATATATAGATATATTTATGGAAAAATGGGAGGTTAATGCTTGAAAACCTACTCCGAAAGTGTGATTGACATATGTAGATGACATTCTGACTGTATTGAAGCTGGAATATGGGCAAAAGTTTTGGCATAAACTTGTTAGTAAATAAAATTCACTTCACTAATGACCGAGAAAATGAATACAGATAACGTCTGCTGGTTGATTTGAAGACAAAACGAAGAGAAGATGGTAGTTTAGATAAAAACGTTTATCAGAAGCCAGAGCACTCTAATAGTGTGGTGAGAGCTGTCTACTAGCCGAATTGGTAGACAGTAATTTACGTCAATGTTTACGTTCTCAAGATTTGTGACTGTTTCTTGAATATCCTAAGGATTGTTTGGCGCAATTCAGGTACAACCAGGAATGGGAACGTCACGCAATCCTCTCCAATTGTAACCCTGCAGTCTGAAACTCCCGCGATTCTTAACACGTGACCGCCTAATGTCTGCACTGTCAACGAACACGGTCTTATACTCTCACATAGACTCCTATCTACGAGTGAGACTGCAGCCCCTGTGTCGATTAAACACACCAACTCGCGATCATTTACCCGTAACTTCGAATATATTGCCCCCTTCTCCATCGTCCCTATTACCTCAAGTCTCGGAACACAGGAAGAAGACACAGTACATCTTTTAAAAATTCTTCTTTATCGTCTCTCCGGGCAGCGGTCTCTCCAGTGCCCTAGTCTGCCACATGCGAAACACCAGTCTCTCCGCACGCTTAGTCTCAGCGCGGCCACTTCACGTTGCAACTCTTCGATTTGTTTCTCACACTACTCGGATTTTGGTGGCTCTACCACTGCAACCGTCTTACTTAACAGTTGTCTGGTCACCTTCGCAAGCTTCCCGATGTCCAGTGGCTGTACGGCGTTAACCAGATGTAGCTGTTGGGATATATGTTCTGGAACACTCTCCATAAACTGGGACGCCAGCATTTGTGCCTCGGAATCTTCGTCCAGTGTTGGTAGAGCGCGACGAAGTAGGCTTGTCAAGGTCAGCGCCAGTACGAGAGGATCACCGTCAACTCCCAGCTTCATCTTGCGAAACTGATGCATTGCCCGCTCTCTGTCCATCGGGCTGTCAAACTCCTGCTTCAAGCGTTCAACCACTGACTTCCAAGTTGCTTGCCCCTCTGTTTGCCTCACACTACCATATGCTGCCTTCACCCGGCCTCTCAGTAGCGTTCCAAGTACAACCGTCTTCGCTGATGGCTCTTGCACGCCATTCAACTCCGCAATAGCTTCGAAGTCCCTCAAGAAGATCCATATGTCTCCTTCTTCAAAAGCTGCAGGCCATGGAACTTTCATTTCGCTACAGGCAGCGACAACAAATGTAACAACAGAAGACAAGGGCCAGGCAACAGATCATCGATATGTTAACTGTATCCGCCTACGCAAAGTCTGCTGTGGTCGGTTTTGGATCAGTCTTGTTCATATTTTCTCACGACAAATCTTGAGAACGTAAACACTGACGTAAATTACTGTCTACCAATTTGGGTAGTAGACAGCTCTCACCACAATAGTACCATAGTTTAACTTCCTTCCAATCAGTATGTGCTAGTTCAGGCTGGGTGAAGTATTTAAGCAGTCAAACCAGGACTTTGATAAATGACCAAAGAAAATTTTATCAAGAATTCAGACACAATAAAGTCACTAGTATTCAATAATTATCTCTCAAAGTTTACACAAGATTTATAAAGCCTGGTCAAAAACAAAAGGTGATATAAGCAATGTCTGCAACACCAGTAAGACAGTGTCGAACGCCTATTTGAAAGGAATATCATGAACTCTATCTAAGATTCTTAATAATGCTGGAATTGGGGTAGAATTTAAACTTACAGAGGAGCTATGTAGGTTAAAACATTCTACAGCGAGAATAAGGTGAAACAAGTTATTTATCAAATTCCAAGTGAGGTTAAGTACATAGGTTAAAGTGGTCAACGAGGGCCAGTCACATCTCAACACAAGAATTTAGCTAAATACAAACCGATATTCGACTTGTTCCCGAGGCAATAAAATATATTTTAGTAATCATGTCCTAATTTTAGGTCATCTATAATTTTCTCATATATTTGGATCACTTTAAAACTTCGTGGACCCTATAGGCCTACTTTAATAATGCACTGAAGAAGACAGTTTTTCTGATCTCAATAATGCCAATTCTGTCGGCTGTTCCAACTAAATTGGAGAGGCACAGTGCCTCACTATCAAATATCTTTAGAAAGTGCAGTTAGTTAACAGCTAAGTTTTAAAAAGATCTCAGTGATTGGAATTAGTTGTACTAAAATGATTAAATAATAGGTTTGATCAACAAAAGTGTGTTTGTGTGGACATCACTTAATAAATTGAAGTTTCTTAAAATTTTTAACCTACATAAGTTCGAATTATGTGTTCTACAATGTATGTGAACATGTTTGTGTTTGTGAGTGTAGGGTACTGTGGGTGACAGGATGGAGATATCATTGTTTTTACTACACATAACTTTGATATAGTATCTGTGAGCCAATCATTTTGGAGTGATCACATTATTAATAATGAATAAAAATGTGCCATTTTTCACTGAACTTATTACAATCAATAGACTTTGACAGATGACATGAGAGTCAAAAGAGGAATTATACTTCATTATTTCATCACTGAATGACATTGTAAAAGTGTGCATCACAAATTCTGTCGACCTCTTCTTTTCTACTCATCTAACTGAGTCAAATCATTAAATTAAATAAATACAATAAGATGCCGTGTGTACGTGATCCATTTCCATGGTGGCTGCCTCTAGCTGTATCCAGTTCAGTGGTGTTGATTACAGTATTCTTAGGTATTTTTCGTTGGCTATATAAAATATACGCAAGACATAAAAGAATGAAAATAAAATCAGCACGACAAATTATACAGTATAAGCAGTTATCACCATTCTCAATGAATCATCAACGTTCATTAAGCTTACAAAGTGCCAATGAGGATGCATTCGATGATTATCCTGGATTATTTATTGACAATAAAGATGATCAAGAATTCGAAGAATTTACTGAATCAGAAGAGAATATATCTTCATTATTTAAAAACTATTCACCTGGTCGACATTTAATGAGTCGTTATAAGAAACCACGCCGTATTAAAACAATGTACGGGAAAAAAGCTGATGTGTCATCGGTACCAGTGATTAAAATTAATGATGTAGGGCAGCAACACCAACAGTCACAGTCACTAACATCAGCGAAGAGTAATACAAGTATCACTCCGTCAAAACCACCAACTGCAAATTTGTCACCGCCGTCACGTTTACATTCACAACAAGATAATTATCTTCGTGATATTTTCACTGTCCAGCCAACAAACAATGAAATAAATATCTCTGAAAATTCAACTCCATCATACTGGGAAGAAAAAAGGCGATGCAGTTGGCTAATCAACTGGTTCAGACATACACGTTTAGGTATGTCTGCAAGACAACAGTTGAATATGAAATTATATTGTGAACGATTTACCACTGTCTCATATCCAGCTGGTAAAATAATGGTTAGTACTACGCATTTTGTTTGATTGTATACTTTAGAATCATGCTTTCTAATATTAGTTGGGTCTGATATCTTTCCTATGAAATGTGAACGTGAATATTTTAACAAAAACAAATTGCTGAAGGTCTAATATGTAATAAAAGTGGAAACTTCCACAATGTGACCTTAGTCCCTCATAGTGTTTATTTGGTTTAAAACTGTTAGTTCAACCTTTTGCAAGGGGCTACATGGAAGGTGAGAATCAAAATCTACACATAATCATCTACAAACTCGGGAGACTATTACATACTGTAATTCTTCTTTATCCAACCACTTGTACGATGCAGACCAGATGAAGCAGAAGTTGGCATTATAAAGAAAAGTTAACGGCAATCAGTGATGAGTAAGAATCAGATGAGACTAGATGTCTGCTTTAAAAAAAGATAATCTTCAGGCCACTGTTTCGAGTATTACCATAAGGCTTTTTTATGCCCACTAATATAGCCGTTTCGTCAATTTAAATTAAAGCACTATGCAATAAAACCATGCTAAATATGTTACTGATGGCTACTTTATTTAGTACTGCAACATTTTGAAAGGATAAGCAATCCAAATCATACAAAGATTGTAATAGATTAGGTGATAAAGCATTCCAAATCACTAGAAGCGAAAGTGTGCCAGCTGGATTAAATTTCTTAACATTCGTGTGAATTATTTATCTTTATTTTTCTTAAATAACTAATCTGCCAATGACTTGCTTCGTAAATTGATCTGTTTCAAACTTTTATTGGGATTCAAGGATTTCTAAACTGTTCTGTTGTTTTAACACAGGCTACAAAACGTTTAGGTAACTTTATTACACTTACTGACATATTTACAGTCAGTCACCTCAGTATGCAGTAAGGAACATTTGATAGTGCATTCTGCGTAATTACTAGGTTTTGTACTAACATTTGTCAATCAGAATCTAACCAGTTACTTCATAGCCAGAAACTGTTGCTTCAAAATAAATTCAGACCTGAAATCTGAAGTACGTGACACCTTTGTGTCTGTTCATTAAGGATACCTTTGATGATTGAATCAGTCAGTAACACAAAAAGCACTATTATTCCAATAAGCTTATTTTGTAAACGCTAAAAATGCATAAGAAATGAAGAATTAGAGTTACTGGTGTTGATCGTCTTAACTATGTGTACAGCGCTTATTCTCTAGATGGAATCACTGTAACTTTTAATTGACTTTGACCTGTATTATTATCTAGAAAAATTATATTAACTACTATTCGGTAAATGTGTTTAGATATTTCAGTTCTAACAAAAGTCAGTCATCACCTAAATAGCCAAATAGAAAAGCCTTCGACTTTGACACTGAGTAAAATGTCTTCTAGCCTTTCAAGGGAGATGATTTTCAGGAGTGCTGAAGACACATTCTGCTCATAAGACCCAAGAAACACAAAACAGCGGCCTGCTTGAATCACTGGGCTGCCTGAATTTCTATTCGAGACAGTGCATCTAGTTTTCTGTATTTCTTGTTGTTATGATCACTTACTTATGTCCGTGGGTCACCAAATGTGCTCATGCATATTTTTAATTGGTTTACAACTTACCGTTGCTCACTTCTGGGGGACCGGAGAGAAATAGTATGAAGGATTATTTTGTGCCTCAGATCTAACACCACTGTGTCACATGATTTACTGAAGATGGCTGTTCTACTTGAAACTCCTAGATGAAGAGAAAATATTATGCAATAAACTAAGCTGGAAATTATGCATTCTGCGTAAACTGATTATCCATTATAAAACTACTATTATTATAAGAAAGCCAATTAAAAAGCCCTCTGTCAGTTGGTTCTTGACATTTAAATCTTCCAGAAGGCCACTCTAATTAACTCTGACTTTGGCGTATCAGGAAAACAGTTCCTCGGTGTTTTTTTACTACTTCTTTTTCAGTCATTATTGATGTGTTTTGATAGGAACAAGAAAGAATCATTGTATTTACAACTGTTAAACTGAATATGTCAGCAGAATATCACTGGTCAAATTTATATATGTGTAAATCTTTGGGCGCTATAATAGTGTGTACATCAAGCAGTAAAAATGGTGTTCATATATCCAACAAACATATTTGCTTGGAAACACAATGGAATTCTAAGGACTACAAGATAACAATTAACTAACTTTACAGAAATACTGCTTCAGGAAAAGCATACATATTTCAGGAGAGATAAAAGTTCATATGCTAGATTGTCTGGAATGGGAAAATTCCAACTTTGCAGAACGTTTGCATTCATTGTGTTACATCTTTTTATTTAAATGGAGGCATTAAATCCACTCACGCTGACTCTATACCAGAACTATTCTGTTAAACAAACTTGCTATGAAAAAGACTGAGTGACGGTTCGATAAATGATTGTATTCTTATTTTTCTGACACGAAGCAGTTAACTGAATATAAAAGAAAGTCTGTCACTGCTTTGCTTACTGTTACCGGTGTCCATCAGAGTGATGTTCTCTCTCCTTTTCTTGTTTCTTTCTTCTTACATGACTTGTCTCATTCTGACGAAGTCAATTTCGTTAAGCACACTGGTGACCTGACTGTCTCCACGTCAGTTGCTTTCCAATTAGACTGTTCAAAAATGAATAACTTTTTCTCAGAAATCTGTCAATGATCCTTGACAAAGGTTTTGAGCTAAATCCCTCCAAATGTCAGATTGTTAATTTGACTTTCAGATACACAGACGTGAATTACATGATTCATGTGTTGGATATTAAATACGTTGGATTATGTCTTTCCTCTGACCTTTCTGCTCAGCTCACATCATCTTCATTTTCAGAAAGACATTTTGTTCAACCTTATAAGTAAGGAAGTTGAGATAATCTGGTATAATTCAGTTTCTATTGTTGATTAACTCTTGTATTCTATATATTCTTCTTTATTATCCCCCTTAATCTTTACTGGGCTACTTAAGCAAGACTGTGTTCACTGCGAAGGATACCAAAAACTGTCGGTAGGGCGGGTGGGGTTTCACTAAGCCGACTAAATAGTACTGTTGTGGTCAGACACTTGAAATCATGCAAGAAATTGGTAGATACCGTCTTGTCAGACCTTGAGCACCCTGTTTATATACAGGGTTTATGCATTTCATCAGTCAGGTCTAGAAAGAATTATAAAAGACTTTATGTTCGGACTACTATTTATAGATATATCTGATATGCATTTTATATGATGAGAAAAGTGATAGGCATGAAACCATTAACTTACTGTGAAGTGGCAAATAAAAGGCCGTTTTTATTCTTCCTCTCATTAATATATTTTTGTCACTATTTTTATAAGTTTTTAATTTTAATATACTATTTGTATTTTTCTTATCATATATATATATTTAAATGTCCTGGTAATTGTTTTCCACCTTACTATGTAATGTATAGAGGAAACTAGATGAAATATTGTAATACATGCTGAAAATTCCATACTGTATAAAATGTACTGTTTGGAATAAAGCCACCCTGAAAACAGCTAAAATTAATTATTTGGTCTTGAAAGTTACTACAGTGGGAAAGCATACATTTCTCTGAATTCTCCGCATCACAGTGATAGCCTATTTTTTTAACACTAATTACTGATTTCATTTCCATACTGACATTTAAAACTAGTGTCACACTTCTCTTGAATAGTTTTCTTTTACAGTGTGCAGCTCAGTAGAAATTCGTTAAATAAGATTATCAAAACTTTCCTAGTTAAATGTATAAGGTATAGCTCGGGATGACAACTAAAATAAACCCGCTTCCTGAAGAGCGCCAGGATTCGCGACGGTAATGTTGTCAAGCTTTCACTGTCTTTCTAGACAAGCTCTTCAGTCCACACTTCAGTATGAATTCTTCTCAATCATTTCAGTAAAGAAGTCCACCGTCTGGTCTATGATGATAATAATACGAAAACAGAACTGTTTAATTATCCTTAGTTATAATTCAGTCACTGATTGTTTCTAACAAACTGTATACGGATGAGAGAGACGTAGCTGCTGTAATTTTGTAACAGTCTTCCCTGTCACTTCTTAGCATTTTTTAATGCATGATTCATCGACAAAGACTATAAATATAAAGGTTTTTTATAAGACGTCAGGAAAGACAGCAGAGATATGGGCTTGTAATATTGTTTTACAGTTTATAGTTCTTAGAAAAATCGAAATTTCTAGGTAATTCTTCAAAAATGATTTCAGTTGTCACCTCCAAGCAACTAAAATGTATAAAAACTAATGACTTCTACTTTAGTTTGAAAGTTATGAGTTTCTCACTTTGTAATGCTAATTTTTTTCTTCAGAGCTTAAGTTTATTCATATTTAAACACTTGCCAAATGACAATCTTTTTGTCATTGACTGAAGTTATTATTTCAAATTTATCATCTGTTGGTATATTGTACCAAAATGATCGATCTTTGTTGACATGTTGTCTCCTAGTACGGACACTTAGAGCAAGCCTGAAGGTTAATATAAAGTTGTTTGTTTGATAGCAGCTATCAGTGGAATACAGTGAGTGGCGCGTCTTTCCCCATTCAGGACTTGCCAGTTGGACCTAACTGCATCCTGGTGGAGTCAACATGATAACAGAGACAGGACATTTCAATCCAATGAAATCAACCAACCTGTGGTCCAAAATAAGAATTTTAACAAATAAAAACTGATACGCTCAGTACGAGAGGCTGCTTTTCACTTCAACGTTTGAAACGATGGGTGATGGATTAGAGTCTCAATGGGAACACATTTATTATTATTATTCCCTTGAATTCCAAGTGGAACATAGGGCTTCAACAACACATCCCCACTTTGTTCTGTTTTCTACCGTCCTCTTCAGCTGGGTCTACAATTGCCCATAATCTCTCATATGCTCCTGTCATGATCTCCATGTCACCCTCTCAATGAAGACCCACTCGTCGCTTCCCATTGGGATTCGACTCGAGCGATGGCCAGCCTGGCGTGAGATGTCATTCGATGGCCTCCTCAACGTATGCCCGATCCACCTCCATT